GTGCTCTGTGAAAAGTCACAATCATCATCATAAAGTCGTCAATTCTAAAGCTGGTTGTACCTGCACTCTTCCCCATCCTGGGCTCATCTTCGCATTTCCCTAAAACTAGAACAACCCATACCCTTAATAATCTGCGAACAGTAATCGAATCTACGTCTACCTCTACCCCTCCTAATTTCCGTTTCTGCCTCTAATAAGTTTCTGACTAGACTTTCATGCCTCAGGCGACCTTCTAACTTATCTCGCCCATTTCTTATTGACTTCCATAGTCCTCTGATCTCCTACTCTTTCTAATACCTCTTCATTTCTAATCTTCTCTATCCACGGTATCCTCATCATTCGCCTGTAACNTAAATGTAGAGATATCAACGATCAATATGTGAAATGTAACAACTAAGTGCATGCTAGAATGAGATTAGATCTTTTAGAGTGTCATTAGTTAATTTGAGATAATTTAATAGAAAAGCGTTGCAAGCTGCTATGAATCTTAGGACTGAAACAATTTTTAAAAAAACACCTTTCTAATTAAGGTAATGTTTTTAAAATATAAAAAAAATAAAATTCTTAAAGTACACTGTTCATTACAACATTACTCGAAGCCCTTCAAAGCTCATATATTACAACCATCAATTCGTGTTATAAAAAAACTAAACACCAATTAATATTCCCCTTAATTAATGGTCCTGAAGTCTTAGTAATGATTGCCCAAATAAAGAACAAAGTATATTTATTTAAACATTGTCAGGGACACAGGATTCGGATACATTCTCTACATTCAAGCGCATTTTCGTGCTGAAATTTTTAACGCCTCTCAACACTTTTAATTCCGTTCCAGAGTCAAGTTAATTATTAATCACTAAACATTAAAAACAACTCAGATTTATGCCTCAATACTAACATTTTAATCATTTTGACACCGTTACGCCATCCGTTTTAATATAGTAAAATTACGAGACAAAGCTTTGGAGAAACTTTTCTTTTTACAGGTGTTGTAATGTTTTCTCTCTGCATATCTCTACAAAGTATATCCCCCTCAGCAGAATATAACGATACCATCTTTTGGAAAATGGAAGAAGCTGAAGATCCAAGTGAAAAGCTTTCAATAAACGAACACAGGAATAGATTTTCTAGCTCAAACGAAGTTTTTCCGATGAATACAACCAATAACACTACAGCTTAAATAGCCGATTCTTAGTTTTATTTCTTTATAAACATTCTGTCATGTTTTAATAAATACTTGTATCTAAATTGTAAGTATTAGAATAATTAAAGAACAATTTAAATACACATTGAAGGTTCCTACTCTGTTTTTTATTTGCCTAATAGATTTTAAATCAAGCTTTAATGTTTACTTTAGCATCCCAGCATCATCTTACTTGTAAGCATACAAAACATTCACTATTCTTTTATAGAAATCGTTGTATGTATTGATTTCCCTTGGACAGTGCTGCCACCAGTAGACATTTTCCGGAAGTAATCTTTTTCAAATTTTATTGATCTTTAACCTTCTACGCCTTTTGAACTTTTATAGAAGCGCAAAAAATTTTAATCACAATTCTAAATCTATAATTTAGAGCTAAAAGGATCATTGGCAAAATATTCACATTTGATAAAATTGCAAACGAAATTTTTGTTACAAATGCTAACTAAGCCTTACTTATTTATGATTTTTTATGTCTTTTTGATCACATTAGTCGTCATAACAAGAACAATGACAAACAAAACTACTTACAAAGAAAACCGATGTCCCTGTTAACACTGGAATACGTCTGTATCAATTGGAACAACGAGGACAATATAGACATAAGCCCATTTGTTTATTATATGAAATTTGCCCGTTTTAGCATACAAAAAAAAAGAGTGGGATGTTTACTTAAAACAGCAAAATATTAACGCTGCCCTTTTACCTACAAGCCACAGAAATATCCCACTGCATTATGTTTAACAAAACCTACAATTGCCTAAGTTATTACATATACAAAAGATTGCAATATTTCCCATTAATAAAGTTCGTCAGTAGTGTTACAGAATGAGTCATTTGTTTTGTTTCATAATACATTATCGTAACACATTTATTGCACGTAAAAGGTTATCTCTGACAAACAATTTGTTTTTAATGTATTAGCTGTGTAACTTAAACAATTTACACCAAAAACAAAAATATTAAAGCTGCATCAAAACAAACGCATATCAGCAAACAAACAATTAATTTTACTGATTATTAGGTACTGTTCATACACATAAATAAAATCATTTATTGTCAATTAAAATCCAACTTTTTATATTGTAATTTTTTATTGGCTTGGAGAAATAACAAAAATATTTCAATGCAGACTTTGAACTAGCACTTGACTAATGGGAGAAGCGACGACACCGAATCCCTTTTTGTCCTTGACACAAATGCTGTAAAGGATTTTCAATTATTGTTAGAGCTTTTCACACTGGGAAGTTCCAAAGTACATCCCCTAGGACGCAGGATCCTAAAAAGATGTTTTTGGTACTGCTTATCACAAATTAATACCATCGTCACTGGTTAGGTACTTAATTCTTATACGTAAATTAAATGGCAAACTTTTCCTTTAATAAACAACTGCACAGCTTGTTTTTTTCATGGTAACGACTGCTAATTTTAAATTGTAATTTTACATTACTTTACAACAATTCTTTGCCAACACATTTATTTTTATTTAGAAGGTATGTAACAGGAAGTTTTAAAACATTATTAAAGTTCTCTCCCGCTCAAGGCGAAACACATAAATTCATGTTCATATAATAAGTTTCTGGAAGACTGAACACATGTATGTATTTTAAATTACACATTATCCACAAATAACTATAATTGTAAGCACATTATTTAAACCACAAGTAGTTTATAAAAATCATTGTTCGTTAAAAATAGCAAACTTTCTCGATCGATTTGTTTAAATTTAGGTTTTATGAGTAACTGTTTTACACAAAAAAAAATCTTAACTAACGAACACAGTCGTAAAAAATAAAATGAAAAATCGCTTGTAAAATTTATTTAGCGTACCTAATTGCAATGGTATAAATATAGGTATTCACTTATCAAAAACCGATTTGTTTGTTATAAACTTCAATCGATATTTATTTAATCTACATAATAACTACTCCTTGAACATAAGTATTCCAATTTTCAATTCAATAAATAACTAATTGTAAGTAATACAAGTGGACGCTAAAATTCAAAGGCACTAAGATGCGTAAATTTAAACAATAGGAACAAAATTAGTTACTAGGAAACTGTGTTCGTTTTCTTTTTGTCTTACCAAGTGTAAATGTAGTTTATTTGTAGAAATCTATAACAAAACGATATGTGTAAATATGGAACTGTGAACATTCATTATACAAAATTGTACATGGAACAAAATCAAGATTTCCAGAGGTACATTTATAACATTATTATTAATTGTTTTCTTCGATTTTGGTCCATTACGAGATTTGCCTTCTTCTTGCACTCCAAACATGTGTGAATATCACACAGGAAACAATTTTTATAGATACATATTTATTTTTAAAAACTTTAAATAAATTTAGTTAGTTAAAAACCAAAGGTGACCACTGTCTCTGCCAAACAGACTAGACGTTTATTTACAAAGAAACCTTCATAATATACTTGACCTATAAAATAAAATATAAACTATTTCCATTTTTTTGTTATTAAGCTGTTATTATTGTCAAAAGAATAAAATTTTTATTTAACCGTTCGTACAAAAATCGTTGCAAAAACACATTTGAATAATAAATTTTATAAGTGTATGAGGTAGATTTTCTTGAGCAACCGCAAACTTCATCTAAAATGGATTGTATAACCTTTTCAATGTAAATTTTATTAGACTAGAAGGTGTATGAAACATAACTAAGTGATCAATTTTAAAAAGATATTTATATAAACGCCCGAAAACAACAACCACTTTACCATCTTTTTTATTAGCCATTACGGCAATTAAATTGGACATTGTTTCCCGAATTCGAGAAAATTATATTTTTAAAGAATCCTCTAATTAATAATAATAATTAAAGCAGTCACCTTTTGGTTTATTTCTAACAATTCTAAAGCCCAATTTAATTACCTAGTAAATAAAGGAAACAATATTAGAGTTAACATTGCCGATTTTTTTTTTTCGAACACGTCAACAAACAACTGCAACAGTTACAAAACAGATCACAATAGTTTCCTGAAATAAGCGAATGGAAATTCGGTTGTACTTGCGGGAAATTGTTACCTTATAATAGTATAAGCAAAGGAATTTCAGCTTTACATGGTATTAGTCGAATATTCTCTACAAATACATAAGTATCTAAATTGAGAATAAGAGTTATTTGGTCGGAATTGTTTCGGGCAGTATTATTCCAAGGTTTGCATTGTATACTTCGTTTAGTTTCTGTAGCGATGTGACCTTCAGTTTGACCGGCGCAAAGTAGAAAAGAACAGCACTAGGTCAGAAAAGAAAGGAGACAACTCTCGGCCAAACTCTTAACCGGTGAGGAGCGTATAATTCGTACAGTACTGCACGGAAAAATTCACCATTTTATCCACTACAATTGCATTACTCATATGTGCTGTTACTGGACCAATTACTACTGAAAATATCAACGAGATGTTTATTT